CTATGTAAGGGAACGACTTGAGATATGCAACTTCGGTCTTCTCGATAACTAAACCCCCAAGTTCCAACAGCGAACGATTTAAATGAAGAGCAAATCCCCATGTTGGCATGTAAGATGAAACGCTTATACAATAGATCAGTTAGCTAAATCAGTATGTATCTTGTCAATCAAATTTACTTTTGTAACCATTCTTTGACTTCCGCCGGCAAAGGAATCATTGATGGATCTGGACATTTCAGTTTCCTGAATGCAGTAGTTCCTGAAAGGTTTTTCTAGATATCATGCCAATAGGAAAAAAGCCCATCTCTTGGTTTTCCGGAGGTTGACTTATTTTTGAATTTATATTTGTCACGCTTGTCATGCAACTGATATAAACTGGAACCACTCAAATCTAGCTAGAATGTGGTAGAGCATAACGTGATCATCGAGTCAGCTGATAAAACCATAAATAAACAAGGTAAGAGTGTTATGTTAGATTTCTGTCGAAAATTGCCTCCGTGTGATAACTTCCAACACTCAATAATTATAGTCAAAATCCCGTTTATTTCACAATACTCAAAGATATGCACTAGTCCCGATGTTTTTCTGAAAAATCTAGTCTCGAAGTAATTGTACCAATAACGATTTCATAACGAGATCAAATTTCAAAGATCAAATGTCCGTTTTAAAACTCTACATTGTGAACAAACTGACAGAAAGCTAATTAAATGACAATCACGGCTTAACAGTTTCCGACATTTCTTTTTTTACAATTTGTAATGATTTATGCCAGTAAACTGGCGGTGGCGACCAGTAGACACACCAAGTATATTTCATAGTCGCTAGCAAGTAAATTTTGCTGGACTTTGAGTTAGTCACAAGATAGAACAACACAAATACACAAGGAAATTTTTACAGTAATTTTATTACCATCCATTTTTCTTTTAAAAGCTTGAAGCTCAGTAGATTCAATCATATCGGTTATTATTAAACTGTCTTTGTTTTAATGCTACTTTTCGACACAGGAAAAGTACGTCGGACAAAAATATTCACCAAAAAATAAATATTACTTCGCCAGCTTCAATAATAACAGGGGATTAAGTTTAGATGATAAAACAAAGGATTAT